AAGCAAAGGTAGGTCCAAATGCAATGGAAAGCTGCCACAGTCACTTCAACCCTAGTTTGAGATTCCTTTATGTGGCCACTTTGTGGAATTACCACACGTGGTGAATGTATGGCTCCTAAGTCCTGAGCTCTTCAACTCATTTTGCTGACGCGCAACCACCAGGCAAGAAGACCGTGCGGCTGCAGGTATCCCTGCTCGCTCGGAAGGAGGAACAACACAATATTGGTCTCCTCGCCAGATCCGAACCACCTCTGTTCCCATAACGGCCCTGTTGCGCGGTTGTTTTCGCCAAACGGCGGAAGAGGGTTGCCAAAGGACCCAACTGGTTTCATATTCGAGGTGTTATGTTCATGATTGATAATCAAGCCCATCCCTGCGTGCTACGGCGGTCGAAAGGAAACCTTCTTCTACGCAGAGAGAAGGGGCTACATATTACAACAGCACCTGAAAGTTTGCAGACCCTTTAAAGAAACTGTCCCTTCTACTGTACCCGTAGTTACTTGACTGGACATTCGCGTGAGATCAAGATTCCAGTCGGAGGGCCATGCCTCTTCCGCCATTGCCGTAAAGTGCCGCGGACAGCGCCAGTCGAGTCGAACAAATACTCCGGGCCCCCTATCACAGCCAGGATAGAAAGATCTTTGGCCGAAGAGGCAACGGAACTTGCGTTTTCATGAGATATGCACCTTCTACCGCTGCCTTCTTGGGTGGGCAGCAGAATTAGTTCGGAGAGCATGGTTTGGTCTAGCGTCGCACGACTGAAGAAATGCAATGCATGTCTTGTTTGATGTGGTTGTAAGGTTGAGACAGCGTCGATGCCGAGTGTGAGGTGGCTTTGGAGCCACAGGAAAGCGACGGCCTCTGGAAGGTGACGTTGCAGCCGAGCTTTCGCACGACTGAGGACATCCAAGTTCTGGAGCCTAGGGAATTTGTTGCTGGCCGTATCTGTATCCGTATCGTACGCTATACAGATATACGGGTATGGTAGCAGTATTGTATATTCCTACCTTGGCCCAGCTTTGCCTGGCTGGCGATTCTGTACCTCATCGAAGTCTCATTCGAGTATCCTAGTCGTTAGGCCCCCGGTTTGACGGTGATCGGCGCTGCTCTCGTTTCCATTTCATAGGGAGAACAAATATGAACCAGGTTGAACCCATGTTTGCTTTGCGAGGAAGCCAACAATGCTTCTCATAATTTACCAGCAGCGAATGCCAAAAACAAAGACAGCCAATGGACTAGCAAACCTTTTTTTTTTTTCCTTTCTCATTTTTTCAAAGTGGCAGCGCATGGATTAAGATCTGGCTGCACATTGGCGCAGATATCACGGTGGCGGGTGTTTCGGTCCTCCTGCATGTTGGGAGTCATGTCAATGGTGATGACCTGCAGACCCCTTGCGACTGCATGTCCGGGGGTCTGCATTCCGTAATGTCATTTCTCTCCGGTCTAGCATGCCGCATGGCACAATGTTAGGACTCGGATCGCAAAGTGACAGGTCGGCGCCGTCGCTGGTGGATTTCGAGGAGAAGAGCTCGAGCCTCGTCCCATGTTGCATTGGTGCCGACTAGTCTGGACGAAACAGAGATTAGTCGGGGAGCACCGAGCGCAAAATGACACAGGCATCTTTGGCAGGCAGCTGTCAATCAGACGTCTGCTTTTGCGACCGCCGAGCCCCCACGAGTTCAGGTGTGTAGGCAAGAGGGTTGTCAGCGAGGTATCGTCTGTTGTCCGTACGGACAGGTCATCCCAGAGACGAGCCCGATATTTTCAATTCTCGCATGCGCTGCTTGGATTTCGATGCCAGGGTATATGCGAGCCGAAAGCAGCTGCATGCCTTTGAATGCCCCATGGTCTTTCGATCGATTTTGGTACGTAGCCCAGCCCCCTATTCTGCCGGCGGGAGAGAGGAAGGATTTGTGTATATTTCCTGCGTCGTACCTCGCCGTATGCGCGTGTTGCGCAGATGTAGAGTTACAGATGGCAATCGGATTCCGTGACTCTGAATCTTCGAGCAGTACAGAGTTGCGGCGCTGCAGCATCGATGTTCCATGTTTGAGACAGGCACGAGTGCGAAGCCCGTGACCTTTTTGGCTTGCTATGGAGCTCAAGTCGGACCAACGCTAAGACGACCATCAGCGGTAGTTTGGCCGAAGCTCGAGCCTGGCTTTGAATCGGTCGAGAAGCCATCCCCTATTTCAGCTGGGTCAACCAGCCACCTCGAATGGTCGAGCTATGAGCCTGTAAGTGACATCAAAGACCCCTGGAGGCTTGTTGCCCGAGAGCCGCTAATCCCTGTTCTCGCAGCTCATTTGTCCTGATTAAGGTGCTGGACTTCCCTGCGGCATCTCCACCAGAGCGGTCTTGGCTTTTTTGTTTTCTAAACGGCGGGATTCGAGGCATTTGGTCTGGTGAGAGGGAGTGAGGGGACCATTTTGAGCACACAGCATCTGTATTCGCGCTGATGTTGAAGAGCAGTTGAAACTGATCCAGCTGGACATATGAGCTAGGAAAAGGCCACGAAAGGAGGAGAGCCAGTGCCGCTGGTGCGCACCCATAAGTTCCCAATGACATAGTGTAGCGGAGCAGATGAAGAGAGCGGTGTGTTGATGATTGGTCCCTTGACCCATTTCATTGCTCGGCAACGAAATCGGAGGGACAGGTTGGCCGGAGGGGAGGCGGGAGCGCATACGGCCCGCCATAGGGATCCACGAAATCCATTTGCTGGCGGCTTCTGGATGGTGGTTTGCCGCATTGGAGTGGTGCATGTGTGGATGTGGTCGATAGGTGTGCAGCTCCTGGTGGCCGGGGTCGTCAGGCGAGAACGACGGCTGAACCACAGGGGCATCAGCCAGGAGCCGGGACAGGCAGTGGAATTGTGAAGAGGTGAAATGTGCTATGTGCTTGCAGCATGCCAACATGCCAGGTATCTGTACATTCGAGAATCGAGAGGGTGGTACCGTCGAGAGGCAGTTGGTGATTGTCAGCAAAGCATGACAGGCTTGAGACGAGGTTAAACAGAGTTCCGAATGGGCGGTAGCATTCGCTTTGCTGGATCGAGGTACGAAACGTGCTTTGCTTTGCATCGTGTGGAGGTGTAACTGTAAGTAAGGTAGGAGAAGTAGATAGGCAGGTGTACCGTTAGATGAGATGTAACCATTGTAGTTGTTGGTTCTCTCCACAAGTACATGTTGCAACTGGCACGTACCAGGTAGTAAAGATATCGACGGGTGCTCGATAGACTCGGGCAAGACCAGAGGGAAGTCATCGGGATGATGAAATGGGTAAGTACGCAGGCCAGTTGAGGTTTCCAATAAATTCCCAGTGTAGAGGTACCCGGGCTCCCTGTGAACTGTACAATGTTAAGATGGGAAACAAGAGGGAAAGGGTCCAAGCTGTTCTGGTCTCGCCGCCTTGCCCAGGTTGAAAGTTACAGGATGAGGTATCCATATCCACATCCACATCCATATCCGTTCGTACGGAGTACAGACGGGTATCTGGAGCACGCAACCTGGACCCTACGAGCGCAGAATTGCGGTGGCCGACGAGATACCTGAGGTACCTTGCTCTGCCGGGTCCAGGTAAGGTGTGTTTCTCTCCGCAGATGAAGAGAAGACGACGGAAAGAGCAGACGAGGGAGGAGGTGTGAGTGGAAAAGACATGTCGACGACGATCCACGACCAACTCCCTTTTCTTGTCATGTTTTTTTTTTTAACCTTTACCTTTTTTAAGCTTCTGTCCCATCTTCTTCTTGTCTGTCAGTCCCCAAATCGACGGCAACTCTCCTTCTCCCACTTGTCCATCCATCCGACTGCCTGGATTGGATCCAGACTTGACCTTTTGAGGCAAAATCACACACTCACACACACCAGACGAGGAAGCCGTTGCTTGCACACCCCTCCTTCTCGATCCGCAATCGCACTTGTTCACGACGCTCCTTCCTCCCAATTCTAATACTAATTTCGAGCTTCCGCTATCGTCCGCTCTCTGCCTCTTCCGCTCCTTCAACCTCTCATCGCTCACTCATTGTCGTCCATTTCCGGCCCTTCCCGCGCATACAACTGAGTTGTCCATCGCATCGAGAACGCCGGGCGTCCACCATCAACACTTCTTGGGTTTCCTACTCTTCGACCAACTGCGACAAACCTTTAATACGCACGCACGCATCCGCTCCCTACTTTATCCCCCATCTGCAGCAGACGAATACCAGCTCCCACGTCGCTAATTCTCACTCTCCCACACACACACACACAAACACACACACACCAGCACACACACACGTACTAGCACGAACCACACGACGACCAGTGAGACACTTTCCGCTAAACGCCGACGTGCATACGCGCATACAAATCACCTCACCCGAACGAACACCTGATGGACGATCGGAACAGGCAACTTGTAGCACAACAACAGCTAATTCCTAATTAACGAGAGCAACGATCTAATCAAACGGCCGCGAACTACCTACGCGACACCACCGGGAGGATACCAGCGAGGTACAGGAGAAAGGCCGTTTGGGAATCTGGAGATTAGAGACCTAACCACTAGAAGGAACTGCAACAACGAACATCCCAGAGTCACAAAATCTGCAGCATCGCAGAACCACAAAAAAGAGGAACCGTTGGGAGACGAAAAAAGAAATAACGACAACGGTTATCAGCAAAACGAACACCTGCAGGCGCACACGCCACCAATCGACCCGTGAACCACAGCAAGACCTTTTGCCATTTGGACGGGTGGATTCCCAGAGGAACAGCCCTCAACTCGGGTGGACTGGGGTCAGTCAGAGACAAACAGCCCAAAGAGCTCAACCCCCGGCGCAGGCAGGGAAACTGACGAAGAAAAGAAGAGGGGGGAAGACGAAAAAAAGGAAGAGGAAAAACAGACGAGCCCCGGCCAGACTCGCAGGCGCAGCGACCGAAGCGAATTGAAAGCGGACCCCGAACCTGGATTTCCTGACCGATCAAGCAGAGACATCACCCCTTAACCCCCCCTACGCGACCATGGCCACGGCCACAGCAGCACCAGCAGCAGCACCAGCAGCACCCACACTCGCACCCGCAGTAGCAGGTGGTTTCGAAGTTGCGGGCCATGCCCCGACTCTGAATCCCACACTCTCTTCTGCTACGGTATCCGCATCCGCATCCGCGTTCGCGTCCGCGTCTGCGTCTCCTTCATCCTCATTCTCTTCGCAAAGTGCTGTTGCATTCCATACTCCCTCACTTTCTGCGACATCTTCAGCAAATTCACCCTCTTCACCCTATGATGCACATCGGCTGAGCCACAACTCGTCCAAGCTTCCCGCTTTTCGATTCGCCGACTTACACAAGCAATACCAATCCACACGCCTAGTGCTCCCCTCACTACTGCAGCACATCCCGCCGTCGCCTGTCTCGCCTAAATCGACTCCAACCTCCAACGAAATTCACTCGGCACCGACCACTGGTACCGACGCCTTCATCGACGCCGTCACTGCTATTGGCATTGGTATTACCACTGAGACTGACACCGCCTCTCCCACCACCCTGCCAACAACGTCAGACCTGCAGCTGCACCAACAGCCGCACCAGCAGCCACAACAACACAGCGCCGACCCGGAAAACAACATCCCACCCCAAAACACCCATTCGACTTCACTTCGACTGCACGACCGCCGCCCCTCCCATCGTCAATTGTCGCAACTCTCCCCCCGTATTTCGAGCCCCATTCACGAGTTGCCCGAGTCGCCTCCAAAGCTCAACCCGCGATCCCGCGCATCAACCTATCAGGTTGCTACCCAGTCGACCCCTGCAACTTCAGCCACCTCAACTAGACGGCCCGCGTCTTATCCCGACCGCCCCGTCATTGTTCAGTCCATCTCATCCCACGGCAACGTCGCAGATCCCAAGACACTCGCCCCCCTCTCCCGACTGCAAACTCGAAGAGCGGCTGCATACCGATCCCGCGAGTCAAATGCGACCGACATTGAGTCAACACCCGTAGAGACCGATCGCCTGAAAACCTCCGACACACCCGACGACGTCCCTCAACCCCCAGGCGACAAAACAACAAAGGACTGGGCCCAGGGACAGCGCGAGCTGATACTGCCAAAGACTTTGCAGAACTCGAGCCCGACAGATGAGAAACGAAAGTCAATAGCCTCGCGACCCCCCGTTTCCTTCAAAGCCACTACCGCCAGCACCTCGACCGCCTCGGTGCGCGTGGCTCCCATCCGCTCCTTTCGCTCATCCGGGTCTCGTCGAAGTCTGGGACTCGACAGCAGCACCTCGACCATGCGGTCTTTTGACTTTGGCGACGACTACGCCGACTCCAATCAACGCGACCGCACCCTGCGCGCCCTCGAAGGCAGACGCGACGACGATTATTCGCAAATGACACCGCCGTTGTCAGCCGACGCCGACGACACAACCGGTGACGTCTTTATGAAAATCGCTAGACAAGAGCCATCGCGCCGTGGCTCTGGAGATATTGCGCCAGCGGAGCAGCCAAGTGCCATAGTGAGTTTAGCCACCTTTCATGGGTTTGCGTTGTTGTTTCGGGAAACCTCTTAGTGCGATGCAAACGGCCGTGCCCTGTGATGGCTAGAGTCTGTTCGCCATGATATGAAGCCGCCTTCCCGTATTTTTGCTCCATCTTTCCGCTCGTCACATACTTTTTCTCCTTCAATTCCCCGTTTGGATATGATAATCCGCCGCGACTTCTAGCGCTGCTTCATTTCCCGCGTTCCGGTGACGCTAATCCTGGCGTCCTGGACACGTTGGCAGAGTTTCGCCATGGACGACCGTGAGCTTACTGACGACGAGCAACAGGCCCGTGTCGCAAGATCTTCGCATCGCCGACCCCTCTCCGCAGCTGTTCCATTGTCTTATCATCATCCCGTCTCCCCACCTCAAATCAGTCGTCGTCTATCCGATCAGCAAGAGACCTCCAAGAAAAGGATACGCCAATCGTCAGAGGATGACAGCGCCGCTGACCCTATGGCTCGCGCATTGGCGTACCGATCACCTTTGACTCGAGACCGGCCGTCGTCCGCGCATCCCGGTGAGGACCTTGGTCGCGCAAAAACTTTCCACCAATCCTCCTCTCGTTCGACCGTCAACACACCCCGGTCCTTCACTTTTCAAGATCCGATGGGAGAAAATTCTCCATACGCGAGGAGAAGGCCGTCGCTAACAGACAGCAACACCGGCTACTCTGCCCGCAGCTCGGCGTACAGACAATCGAACTTGTCTTATGGCCAGACCCGTACGTACAACTCTTCGCCCTTGGTCCCTAAATCGATAGAAGCGCCGCGCACCGAAGCACATCAGGACGCGGCAACGGGAGTTGAAGGAACAGAATCGACCGCAACAGCGTCGACAAACGCACCGTCGACAGTGTGGGATGAGTTGGATGATCTCAAGTCGCGCATCCATCGCCTGGAATTAACCGGCAAGCTGCCTGCGACCTCCGGCGCCGCAATGTCTCGAGCCTCTGACGAACGTCCACCTACCGCAACCAATACGACCATGTCCACCTCGCCGAAACGAGCTTCTGATAGCCAGCACCACCAGACCGATGCTGTCAGCACCACATCTTCGCAACGCGAGGTCCAGCAGCCCATCCTTCTCTCTGCTGTCAGCAAGTCCAAGCCGTTCCTCAGCGAGGAGGTAGCAAAAGCACTCGAGGTAGCTGCAACAGACGCCTTGGCTCTAGCCAACATGATGGGGACTGCAGGCCAACCGGGGCCCATCTCAAGCGGCGCTAGCACCATCGGAGTTGGCACGAATCTGACGGATCGTCAACTGCGACGCAAGGCTGACAGCATCTGCCGAAGCCTCACAGAGCTGGTTTTGGCATTGAGCGAAGAAGCGGCTGGCAATAAGACTGTCCAAGTCAGTGTGCCTATAACCAAGGACACGACGACACCGGTCACACCAACCATCAACAAGACCTTCATTGGCGGATCCGGTCAACGGCGCCCTAGTATTACGTCTGAGCAGCAGACCCTCCCGAAGCCCAATGCCAATACGGTCACGAGCCCTAGGGCCCTCTCCAAATACGAAGAGAGACGCAGCACTATGCTCAACCCGGCCTCGCTCCCCAGTCCCAGGTTCGCCCTTCCGCCTGGCACCATTCCTAGTACACCGGGAGACGGCAGCAAAACGGCGAACCGCAAGTCATCTTTATTCATTGGTCGGTCGCGTCGTGCTGTCACCGAAGAGCCTGAGGACGGCCGCAGGTCATCTATGCTTCTAAGGACCCGGAGAGCAGGCACAGAAGAGGCGGAGGATTCACGCGAAGCAGGTCGCGAGAATGGACGCCAAACCTCATTACTTCGCTCGCGTCGGGGGACTGTTGGCGGCGAGGATGAAGATGAATCTCGATTTCGCGCCCCGTCCCGGGCGGCTACAGAGCTCACCACACCGGCCCGCGCGGTCTCTCACACCTATCACTCAAACACAAACCCCAACGAACTATCATCACCAGCTTCTTCTGCTCTGCCTCGCAGGCGGTTCGGAGCTTCATCCCTCACTTCTCGGCTGGTTGCGCCTTCCACGCCATCGCTGGCGACGCGCCGATATCTGGAAAGAACCCCAGAACGCGAACAACCTTCCTCAACCGAGAAGGTCACCGAAGAACGGCCGCAACAAGTTGTTGCGCAGCCGCGGCACTTTTCTCTCAGTCATACTTCGCTGCTGAACCGGGCTAGCAGCATTAGCCGCAGACCGAATCGTGACAGCACGATAACGAATTCATCAACGGCTGCTCAGTCGGGCAGCTACCGATAACGTCTTTACGAATCACAGTCACACGGATGAATGTATCATAGATGTCTTATTCTCACGCTGGCGTCATTCTTGTTTGGCATATGGTAAAACCGCATGGGCTCGGCAGCGGTTACTCTGTACTTGTATGACAAACCACGACGGAAGGCCGATTGATTTGTTGGGACTCGCCTTTCCCCGGAAAAAAACAAGGCTGGAGTAGAGCATTTGTGTGTATCGAGCAGTCCATAGGAAACAAAAGGTTAAGGATAGAAGCATAGGATGCTTCTGACTTGTTTGGTCAAATCTGTTTGCCAGGGTCGATAAGCGATGTTGTGATATCATGTTATACTATGTGGCACCTCGTGTTTTGCATGGGAAATCTGGAGGCCATATTCAACTACGCGGACTTCGTGATGTGCTAGTTTGAGGGGATGGGCTAGTCTGGGGAGGTAAGCCTGTTCACGCTGCAATTGAGTTTTGCGAAATCGGCCAACCAGTTGTTGACATTTCGTGATTACGAAGCGCTTTGATCTGGACCCTGAGGTATGACCGTGCGAGGTAAACGTAGGATTGGGGAGTCGGTTGGCTGACAAGTTGACTCACCGGCGACGATTTTCAGAGCAAAGTCGAAGAAGTCTGTTTTACAGCTGAAGGGGGGCTTGGCCATTGGATGAGCCACTGACCGAAGGAGGGGGGTTTTTTTAAGCGGGCCTGGGCCCAACCTAACTCTGACTTCACGCATCAACCTACACGGAGGTTTTCTACATGAAGTCTCCCACACTTCTCTCATTCCATTCACACATGCAAAACCAACTCATCCGTTTTTTATCATCCAGACGAATTAGGAACCTCGCCTTCCGTGGTCGTGCTTCCGACAGACTACCACCAGGGGATCTGCTGCTTTTTCCGGCATCATACGCTACTCAGGCACGACCCCCACCCGCACCTGCAACAGCGAGAGGGACCATTAAGTGGAAGGAGACTTTGAACTTCCTGAGATTTTCCGGACCAACGCTGTTTCCTGCTCGCTCCAAGTCGTCGTGGGCTGGAGAGTACGGAGAGATGGCCGATCAGCATGAAGAGGCTGCTGTCGCGGCCGATAATCAGGCGGCGCAGCAACAGCCCCAGCAGAAGAGGGGCGGAGGAGGACATGGACGCAGAGGCGGAAAGGGAGGAGGAGGAGGCGGCGGGGGCCAGCCGAGAGAGGTATTGGTCTCCAAGGCGCTTTCGAAGCTTTTGAGGCATCAGGCTGAGAATGCGGGTCTCACGCTCGACGAGGGCGGGTATGCGCCCCTGGACAAGGTGGTGAGTTTTGAAGAATCTCTTCTTTTTCCGTATGAGAGAGGGAGGGAGTGGCGAAGATGAGGACCGGGGTGTGACCGTCCTGCTTGGGGAAAGATGATGGCTTTTTATTTTCTGAATATCAAGTCATCCAAGGGACAAGCAACAACGAACTAACACGATGATTCAAAAAAAGCTCGCATACGGCCCCATCAAATCCCTCAAGGTAACCTTCTCCGACATTCAGGCCGCAGTAACGACGTCGGACAAGCAGCGCTTCGCCCTCAAGCCCAACGCGGCGACGAACGCGACGCTAGACGAGACCTCGACGGAGCCCTCGCACTGGCTGATCCGCGCGAACCAGGGCCACAGCATCAAGGTCGACTCTGCCTCGCTCCTGACGCCCATCACGCTCGAAGCGGGTAACGTGCCCGAGGTGGTGGTGCACGGGACGTATTTCGCGTTTTGGAAGCAGATTGAGGCTTCGGGGGGGTTGAAGAGGATGGGGCGGAACCACGTGCACTTTGCTACGGGGTTACCCGGCGACGAGAGGGGCGTTGTGAGCGGGATGAGGAAGGATGCCGAGGTTCTTGTGTACGTTGACGTCGGGAGGGCGTTGAGGGAGGAGGAGGAGGGGGGTCTGAAGTGGTGGATTAGTGAGAACGGGGTTGTTTTGACAGAGGGGGACGGGGACGGGGTTGTGCCGTGCCGGTTGTTCAAGGAGGTTGTTGCACGGGAGGAGGGGAGCGGGGTGGGTGTGCTTTGGAAGGACGGGGAGAAGGTTGCGGAGTTGCCCGAAGGGTTGAGGATGAGGGCGCCGCCTGGGAAGGGGAGGGGTGGGAGGGGAGGGAGGAGGGGAGGAAAGGCTTGATGAGGTGATAGGAATTATATGACAAAAGCCAGAGATTCAGACCTGTCATTGAGGGAAAAGATGATTCCTGCATGGACCTGATGATTACCAGGTATTCAACACAGGCCTTCAAGTCCAATGCTCCAATTCTTCGTAGAAGCATATCCTTTTTATTTTTCTGAACTTCACATGGTAATAACAATACATTTAGCACGGCATAGAAAATAGCGGAAGTCGAAAGAAGCATTCCAACTCCCAGTGGAATCCATCAAAGCACAGCGATAACAGCCGCAGTTTCGGGATATCCCCAGGCCAACCGAGCTCAGCCCATCTACTGTCTCTCAGCCCGCAAATCTCCATGTACCTCGCACTTGTACGTGCCAATGATTCACATGAAGCCGTCGAGGAGCTCATAACGTCATGCTGTTTCCATAATAAGCCTCGCTTCTACTTACTTCGCTTTCCCCAACAAAACCTTCTTGGCCTTCTGCTCCCTCTTGACGACTTCCGCCTCCAGCCATCCCAGAATCCCCTCGGCCATCTTCTCCTTCGCGGCCTTCTTCGTCAAGATCTTCCGGACGGTGCCCAGATCGCCCGGGATACGCGGGCTGCCGTCAAAGTCGGCGCGGCCGTCCCAAAAGTTTTCGAGCGCGGGGTCCGGCGTCGTGATGTAGCGGGGCACGGGGAGGTGGAGCTGCGTGCAGAGATCCCGGACCCGCCTCTCGGCCGACGTTGCCGATTCTGGTGGTGTCGGTAATGGCGAGATCGCTGGCGTCGGCACCTGGGACTGGGTGGTGGTGATGGGGGCGCCGGCGCCGAGCGAGGGAGTGCTCGCCGTGGATGTTGTTGTCGACTCCACGTTGGTAGAGGCTGGTGATGTCATCACGGTTAGGGGTACCGTTGGTCTTGGACCATGCAAGGGCTCTTCGGATGAGGAAGACGGTTTTTGGTGACTGGAGACATTGCTATTGTCATTCTTGCCGGCGGCGACGCTGGAGGCGTGAGTCGGTGACGACGAGGGTGACCTCGGGGATTGGGACGTTGTGTCCTGTTTCTTCCTCGAGGCGGCCGCGGCGGAGCCGCTGCTCTCTGTCGGCGGGGATCTCTTGGAGGGTAGCACCGACCCGGACGAGCCGCCACCGCCGCCGCCGGTGCCGCCACCAGAACCACCAGCAGCATCAGCAGGCGCAGACGAAAAGTCGGCGGTAGACCGCCCAGCGGGAACAGCAGCAGCAAGCGCGGCGCTGGCGGCCGGGGCAAAGGGCTTGGGGAACTTTGGCAGCTCGCCCGAGGGCATCATGTGCCCGTTATCGATGAGCCACGCGCAGGCGGACTTTGCGGCCCACTGCTTCGCGTCCTTCTTGCCCTGGAATGTGGGACCGCCGCCGCCGTGGGAGATGTCTTCGCCGGGGTCCATGCCGTAGCCCGGCCGGGGGAAGACGTCGCCCGTGCTGTCAAAGGTCGCCGAGCACGCCCAGCGGAGCTCCTTGGCCTTGCCTAGGCCGGGCTCTTGGCGGGCTTCATCATTGAAGGTTATCTTTTGGTTCTTGACTTGTTGGAAATCTGTAATTTGTCTTTCAGTCAGCAAGCATGAAGAAGAGTTTGTGATTTCCAGAATGTGGTGTTTGGGTAGTTCTGGTTGGTATTGAGGAAGGTAGTTTTCCCAGGCCGGGATTCATAGCATCAGATGGGTACGAAATAAAGAGACAATAGAGAATAAGAGAAGGGTGATACGAATTGAGAAGAGAGAAAAAGAAGTACGAAATGAGCTTTGTAACTAACGATTCAGCAGGCCGAGCCAGTTCGTTTTGCCTAGGTCCGGTTCTGGTCGCGGGGCCGGGCGGAGGAGGATGGCGATGGCCGAGACCTCGTGATCCGTGAGCGGGGCGGGGCGGCCGTGTTCGGCTTCGAAGGCTTCCTTGCCGGCGATGTAGGAACGGAGGGCCGACCAGTCTACGTGCTGGGCGGCTGTGCCGTTTGGTGAGCTTCCCGCCATGGCGTGGTGTGTGTTGTGTAAGTTGTGTGTGTGCGGATGCGTGTTATCGCCTGCTGGCTGCGACTGTGGTTACGCGCGCTCGGGTATTGATTTTTGGTATCTTGAGGATGCGAATGATCTCGCGGGTAGCGATGATGGAGTATAAGAGGAAATGAGACGAATTCCAAGTGGAAATTGAGAGGAAAATAATGAGTGAGATTAAATCTCGCTTTAGAATGGGCTCTTCTTGTGGGCCAAGGCGTTTTGAGAATTGAGAAATGTAGGCAAGGGAGGTAAGTTGAGTTGGTCGACCGACTGAGGTTGTGAAGTGTTAATGAACGTTTGGTGGGGTCGCCGTCTCTGGCCACTTTCGACCATGGCGCGCGCTTCTTTGACGGGAGGCCCCCCAAACTCTGCCTGGTGACGACTTTGCGCATCTGCAATCTGCATCTAGAATGGAAGTCAAATCATTCTGGCAACGGTGATTCGTCCCTTTCCCCGCCTATCGCACACGTTACTTTTGAACGTTACTCCGGCCTGCTTTACAAAGACGGGTGGTAAAATTGCAGGCCTTGGCTGGGCCGACTTGAGATGACCTCGGAGAGACTTATATTCACCAACACTCTCTGCCGCTGAGGAGATGCCGTGACCAGCAGCAAACGTGGTCGAGGAGACAGCATCGCCAAAATGCTGATTTCATTGGCGTGATCCCACGAAACTTTTAGGGGGTATACTAACAGCTACCAAAACGCTCAACACCACGCCTTGTTTCTCGCGAGCCTGCCGCTCCCAGGCCTCACTCAAAGAAGCCTGTGCCGTCATCCTCCTCTTCCACCTTCGCAGGGGCCTTCCTCTCAGCCGCTCTTCGCTCCCTCCGGTTCATCGGCTGCTTGGCGTCCTTCTTCGGCTCCCACGTCTTCTTCGACCTGGCCACCCACGGGTCCTCTTCCTTGACCCTCTCCGGCCGCGTCTGTTGGATCTGCCTCGTGGGCCGCTGCGGCCGTGACTGGCGCCGTGCGGGGCCGTCTGTCGGCGACCTGCGATCGCGTAGCCGGTACAGCGCCGCTTCTCCCTCCGGCAGGACCTTCTCAACCGTCGCCCACATTTTGGGTCGTTCGGCGTGGAGGAACTGCAAGGCCTTGGGCTTCTTGAAGGGCTTCGCACCCGCATCCGCATCCGCATCCGCTTCACCCTGCTTGTCTTCCTCTTGCTGCTGCTCTCCCTCGTCCTTCTCCTCGTCTCCCTCCTCCTTGGCGTTCTTATCCTTGGGGTACAGACTCTCGTAGCGCTCCATCAGAGGGAAGAAGCGGGCGTAGGCGACGTCGACTTCGGCTACGTGGGCCTCGGCCTCAAGGCGCTTCTTTTCTTCGGGGTCCTCGGATTGCTGGAGCTTCTTGCGGAGCTGCTTCAGTAGTCTCTCTGCCTTTTTCCGTTCTGCAAAAGGAGAAAGAAGAGGAAGAAAAGTGTTAGCCGGTCCACGTGCTGGTAGCGAGGAGATTAAAGGCAAATAACCACGTACCAAAGAAGCGAACCATGTGGTACTTTTGAATCATGTTGCCTCTTCTCTTCTTGAAGTCGTGCTCCTCGACCCTCTCCTGCAGCGCATCCAGCTCTTGTTCCAGTTCATTGCGTTTCGTCGCGGGCAGCTGCTTGCCGCTCTGCAAAAGTCTCCTGATGGTTCTCGCGCGCGTCTTGTTCCAGTTCGTAGTCCCCTCCTTTGCCCTGGACTTCTTCTTGGTGGCCTTGAACCGCTTTGTCTCGTGCTCGCCGCTTTCCGAGCCCGATTGCTGCTCATGGGTGTCGTCTGTGATTGCCCCCTCCGAAGCGAGCTCGGAGTGTGCTCGTTTTGTGCCCATGTTCTGCCGATAGTAGATACTGATCGAAGCGATTGCGTTGTTGGGCTGTGTTTAATTGTGTTGTGTTGCGTGGCGATGTGGGAGATTCACTGCGGGTGCGGCGTGCAAGGTAAGGAGCCGACGGTGGCATCGCGAACTTCTTGTTCAAAAATTTGGCTCGTTATCGGCTGCGTGGAAGTTGCCGACCCCACCTGCAGTGCTTATCGGTCCCAAACGGGACTGGTAGTTTGACTGGCCCGTGCGCACCAATGACAGGTCCCAATTACAACGGCTCACTGGTCTGGAAGCGAAGCAATCCCGCCCAAAGCTTCAGCGAGGTGAGATGATACCTGATTGAATGCGACCACTGGCGCTGACTTTCTATTTGCATCCATCCCTTCACTTTGACAGTATTTTCTTGGCCGATCTTGAAACCATATTACGATTGGAAATCCCCCTTCAAATCGCCACAACCACGCAGCTTACACGGAGTCAGTTCATCCGGCACAGCTCACCTAGGTACCTTCCTCAGGCACCTGATGGATGGGCGCTCCCTCGACATTCATCGTCAATATAGGGGTTGCGTTTGAGCTATCCGTCCGAGACAGGGAGAGCCCAAGATTATCACAAAAGTCAGGCGCGTGCGGACGCCATGGATCGCCCGGAGCCTGGGCTGATCAAATGGTCGCAGATCCCCGGCTACGATAGCTTCATCCACATAAACCTGCAGCATCGCATTGTGCAGCTGTATGAGCCCAGTGGCCTTGCGCAGAGAGACTGCTTCGAGTATACGAGGTTGTCAAAGCATGATGACTTCCCAACACTTACTACCTATGACTGGTCGCCCACGGTTCCAGGTCTCTTGGCCGTCGGCACTCAGACGGGCGTCGTCAACTTGCTGAGGATGGACGACAACTCCAACGCCTACATTGAGTTGAATCTCAAGATGACAAGAACATGTCAGGCAGTGGCGTTCAACACCGAGGGTCTTCTTGCAGTTGGCTTGGACCGAGTGCGCATGGATCAGTGCCTACACATTTGGGATGTCAACAGGTTGTCGACGATGAATACGACTGCCAAAGGCTTTCCCAAGGACCTACACGCCTTTTCAGATCCGGCATATCGACTGGAGCCTAGCGTGTCAGTTTCGAGCGTCAAATTCTTTGAAGATAACCCAAAGACCTTGGTAGTTGGGATCAAAGCCCAAGGTCTGCGCATCCATGATCTGCGAGGTAAATGGCAACATCACGCTTTTCAAAATGAACATACTGATGTATTCAAATACAGAACCCGGCAGTGTTGTAACGTTTCAGACCAAGTGTAACAATAATCTGGCCATCGACTACGCTGACCAGAATTATTTTTCATCATCTGCACTGGACCAACCTGGCATCATGATTTGGGATAGGCGAGCAACGTCTCGGCCAGTCGCTTCACCATCTTATACGGGCGCAGTTGACGAGGACGACCTTCCGTGGGGTGGAGCCTTGAGACTCGACAGAGTGGTTGAGATGGACGACGATTCCTCCCTGAGCGAGAGCAAGCACTCCATCGTCCGCTCGCTTCGGTACTGTCGGGACCGCCGGGGTCTACTGGCTGTACTTTCTCGATCCGGCCAGCTAAAGGTCTTGGAGACGAACAAGGAGATAACGCATCGCGACATGGCCCTCGAAGGTAGCCCAGAGCTTCTTGAAGTTCACAAATCACACGACATGGACGTTCAATACGGCGACAGCGGCAGGAAGAATGATAGAATCGTCTCTTTTGACTGGGTGACGCTCGACTCTTCGGTGCTGCAGCCCCGTCTCCTCGTTTTGCGCGCCAATGGAACGTTTGAGATCCTTGAGCAACCGTCGTACACTTCCGACTATCTTTACAAGCTGACGCCTTGGCAACCACCACATCGTGGGCTGGAAGGTATGTATTGAAGAATGTTCATGGGAGAAAAACCACTCACATCGTGTAGAAGGAGGAGCGTACCACAAAATCATGGAATTTGAGCTATCCCAGTCTTCCGACATGCTCGGCCCCTTATTTGTCGAGGAAGCACTCTCCGACATTCCTATATTCGGCCCCGACAAGGCTGATGTCCAGTCTATTGTGGAAAAGACATTGAAATCAAAGTTTTCAGCAAGAGATCTCAACAGTAGGCTGATTGGTAATGGTAATAACTCGCCGGCGCCCCTCGACAAATCTCAAACTACCGCAGAGAAGTTACGAGCTTTGAGGACGGAGCTCAAGGAAAAGGCCAGGAAAGCAGAGAAGAACGGCACCGAGAGCTCGATTATGGAAGAATCAATCAGCTCGCTCGCTCAGCTGTCCCTGTCTACCGAGGGGCCGATCTCCTGTCGCCACATGCACGAATCCCTTCTTTCTCTGCCCTTGAAGGCTCAAGGTTTATCGACGGAGACACAGTGTCTTCTGGACCACGTCATGCTTCTCCGCGCAAAAGAAAAGTATCTTTTCGATTGCAACATCAATCGCGTTGTGGTATCTGATGATCCGTGGTTGAGATATATGTGGGATTGGATCGCAGGTGAGTAGCTTGAATGTGTTGGGGATCTTGTTGCTAATCTTGAGCAGATGCCGAAGATGCTGCCGCGGATGGAGGTATGAAATTGTCGCCACTCGACCTGAGTTACATGGGCGTCTGTACCATCTGGTGCGATGATTTGGGTGCGTCAAGAGTCCGCCTCTACTACTGCAATCGCGACTGACATGCAGCAGGTCGGAAGCCTTCATCCAGACTTCCAGAGGCGTCTCCGATTCCCGAGACGACATTGTGGGAGAAGTGCATTGGAAGTATCTGTAAGAAGCGACGTTTACCAAAGTACGAAGGCATCCACACCAAGAAGCCTTTCCACAGACAGCTTTGTCTAGACATTTGCGAATGGGGGGACACGGCGGCACACGAAGCCAGGGGAGCAGCGGCACATGATCCCAGTGACTACCCGACAACAGCACACACGATGGCAGCAGCCCGGGCTCTCTTCAAAGGCAATACGCAGGAGGCGATTGGAATCCTGAAGACGGCGAGCGTAACACATCCAGAGCTGCTATTCGTCTCCCTCGCCTTGCAACTTATTGGAAAGAGCAACAACTATCTTAACAAGGAGCAGCTTGATTTCGACGAGGCCGTGGCATCGAAGACGGACCCCTATCTCAGGGCAATATCGTCATTGATTGCCACGGGAGACTGGTTCGCCATCGCAAATCAAAAGTCCCTGCCCCTGTCAGATCGGGTCTATGTTGCAGTACGGAACTTTAGCGACGAACAGCTGACCAAGTGGCTCAATGAACAGGTCTCAATGGCTGTGGGTACCGGAGACATCGAGGGCATTGTTCTTACGGGCATAACGGATAGGCTGGTGGACATTTTCGCCAAATACGTTGAGAAGTTCAACGACTTCCAGACGGCAACGCTAGTCATGTCGATATGCGCGCCGCGTTACATTGATGATTACCGCTGCCTAGCTTGGAGGAACGCCTACAGAACTTATCTCCAACGACACAAGGCCTTCCTCCAGAGGACCAAGTTCGAGGTTGAGAGCACGAAGAAGAGCAAGCGCGGTGGGCGCCCTACGATCAAGCCGCCTTCGCGCCAGATTGCGCTCCGGTGTGTGTACTGCGATGCAGAGACGACTCTCGCTGGACAGGGAGGAGCCGGGTCGGGGCTGCCGCCTGGGGCGCCTGATTCACGAAATCCCCTTATGGCCACGAGCATAAATGCGGGAATCAGCTGTCCCAATTGCGGACGGCATCTGCCGCGGTGCGTGGTGTGTCTGGAGGTGGTGGGCGTCCCGAGATCTGACCGACCCGAGCATAATGGCGAGCCGGAGAGGTGGATGGCGGCCAACTTCCCAACGTTTTGCTTGAAATGCGAGCACGTGCTGCATCTGGACCATGCGAGGCAGTGGTTTACGAGGCACGTCGAGTGTCCGGTGCCCGAGTGCCGGTGTCGATGTAATTTCAGGGCGAACCCGGAGCTGAATTACCATTGATTACGAGCCGAGCGGGATGGGAGGATTAGAGAATGAGAGGATTGGGAGGGTAGAGGGCGTATCATGAACAAGGGTCCGGAATGCAAGCATGACTGCTGACGGGCGGCCGAAGATGTGCCCCGTGTTTCTTGGTTGTTATTATTATGTCCCGTGGTTGTGACGGAATACTTATGACATGATTATGTATCTGCATCCATGATCCGCCTGCGCGCCGTGGGGACTCTGGACTCTTGCAGATGGATTCTGGACTCTTGCATTCTGCAACGGGCGCGGAAAGGGTGTCGCGGAGATTTGCAAGGCCCTGGTCAGCATGTGTGCCGCACAGCCTCCTGTATGTGTGTGTGTGTGTGTGTGTGTGTGTGTGTGTGTATGTGTATGTGGTGTGCACACGTCGAACACCCTCGGAGCGATGACAGCCACAGATACGTCAATCGTTTGGTGCTGGATTGCATTTAACGGTTTCGAATGCAGAATTGGGCTGCGACTCGGTGAGGCCTGGACTTGTCACATTCGGCGCCCGTGCTGCAGGTTGATCGATCACCTGCACATCTTCCAGGTTGCGGGGACTTGACCGGTCGGTGGAATACTACCTTGGGGTATCCGGATGATGCCCATTGTAGTGTCCCGGTCAGTGGCCTGTCCACACCATGTTTGATGTGTCTGTCTTCTGCCCAACCTGATGCTCGTCGAGAGTGCGTGAGTGCGTGGCAGGCAGGTAGGCAGGCACCCGTCCCCTTAAACCGCCCACGTATCCGTACTTGGAATGAACTCGACCAAAGGTGGTGAAGTGAGATGTGACATGCCCGACGCCGGCTGACAGGGGGAGGGGAAGGAGGGAGGGAACCTGAAGAAAGCAAAGTGCATGAGAGGATGAGGGTTGGAAGTATGGAGTCATTGAGGAGGGTGCTCGAATGCCATGAGGTGCTGAAGGATATGGACCCCACTTACCTAAGGCAAATGTATCCGGACGGATACCTAGGTACTGGCGCATCCAATTGTGTACCTAATCATGGTGCACCGAGTGCTCCTTTCCAGGTATTCCCAATGTATTCCCAGGGCAGGGCAGGGCAGTTTGACTGGTCCTTTTCCCAGGTTTGGCCCTGTCTGCCCCGAGTGCCCTGGTCCCTCCCAGCCATGGCAGGTCACTCTTGCCGTCCCATTTGCCTCGGCAAGATGACTGCGTTGGTTTGGGGGAACACAAAGCACACGGGGAACTGGTCCGGGCTCTACGCACTCTTAGTTGAACGACATCTTCAATCAACCGCCACCACGACGCCGTCTCTTTTCGTCTACGTCTCCTCCCACACGCACAAACATACCCACCCAACCTCATCTCCTCTGTCACATCCTGTCCCAATTTACCGAGGCCTGGACCAGACACCGACATCCATGGCTCCAAACGGATACTGACCTGCCCACAACCACCGAACCTTGCCGTGTCCCGCCTCACAGTCCTCACCTTATCCTGGAACCAACAACCGCACGCAGAGAAACACGACACCGACACACCCGACCCATCATTGCTTACCCGTTTCTGTCCCCATTTGGTCCTCTTCCAGGGTTCCAACTTGCTACGCTCCGCTCTTAGTCTCCAACATGTCATTGGAAGTAATTTACATCACCCGTCATGGAGTAAGTATCCGTATTCCAATGCCCTTTTCTGTCCAGTTATCCTGCGTATCCGGCTTCATCTCCGAAACCAACGTTCCAACGAGCATGAGCAAGGCGGAGAAGACGACGGCGCAGTGAAGAAGTTCTCTCAAGGGGGGTTCATATTCAGCCCATTCATCGCCAAGTCCATCCCTCCTGGTACTCGAAGTGGTCGGCGGGCAAGGGGGGGTTTTTCTTTCTTTTCTTTTTCTGTTTTATGGTCGCGCTGTTGATGCTGGCCCTGCTGGTTTGAGGAAGAGACTTCATTCTGACAACGGCCTTGGAATCCTTTCAGTTCCGATCCAACTGGCTTGTCGACCCTTCTACGGGCAGCTACACGGCATCCATCCCGTCCCCGACAGGAATACCTGCGGATCCGGAATTGACAGCCCATGGTGTCGACCAGGCCAAGGAGCTGGGCGCCCACCTCCTGACCGTTGAGCCTCCAATCGACGCAGTCTATTCCAGCCCCTACTATCGCTGTCTGCAGACCATCACGCCCTTTGTTGCTCTCAAGCAGGAGAACCTCAACCGTCTTCAGACAAAAGACGTTGACGCTAAGGCCGATGCTGTCACCATTCGTCCCGAACACGGGCTCTGCGAATGGTATGGCGCCGCCCCATTCGAGCACCCGACCCCGGCCTCAACCGACGTCTTGAAGCCAATGTTCCCTCATATTGATGACACGTATCGGAGCCGCGTCTATCCCGCCCGCAATGGCGAGACTATCGCTCAATTGCACGACCGCGTCGCTGCTGGGGTTCAAGCCATCATCGAGCAATGCGACGCCCAAGGCCACCGGGCAGTGGTTCTGTGCTCCCATGCAGCCTCAATCATTGCGCTTGGCCGAGTGCTTACAGGCGAAATGCCCGAGAGCATCGATGCGGAAGATTTTCGAGCCTTCACCTGTGGGTTAAGCATGTACCGGAGAAAATTGCCCTCTTCTTCAGCAAAAATTCCCGTGCCCGCTGGTAGGATTCGACCCCCTACGTCATCATCAGGCTATGGGGGTTCATGGTTGACAATGGAACCAACAGGCCCAATCGTTGATACCAAGTCGTGGAGGAATGGTCGGGGAGTCGGAGGTGGGTGGGTATGTGAGCTCAACAGTGACTGCAACTTTTTGAGTGGAGGAGAAGAGAGGGGATGGTAAGATGGATTTCCCGCTCCCACCCACATACACGCCCTGGCTGAGATCAATCCAATGGGACCTCGGCCGGCCCTCACTCACCCTTGCCTTTGCTGGACACCCACCGAGGGGCCGCCCCTCCCTATCTTTTCTTTTCCCATTTCCTATACCACCACCCGAGAGGAGTCCGGATGCTTTACTCGGAAGGATGCTGACTTAAGTAACCCATATACAGGCGATTCTCAGGAGATGAGTCCTTTTCCGCGGCCGAACAATCTTCGCAGGCCGACGCTGGAGTGGCGCTCGGCGTGGTGGTGGAAGGAAAAGTGAAACCTGACAAGGTCTCTCCCCACAGAGCTGCAGGTCATCATCGCCTGTAGGAATTGGCTCACTGGCGGCGTGCTTCGTCATTTGCATTGCAGTTTTTCTTCTTTTCATTCTCAGAATTCTCCAGAGGCTAGTTCCTCGACGGGTCGCTCAGAATGGTCGAAGGCTGCGACAAAGTTATCGTCCTCCAGCCAGACCAGAAACCGATCCGCACCATCCGTCCTTGCGGCCGATACACGATGGCAGCTAATGCCGGATAGAGTTGCCTAGCTGCTGCGGGATGCATCATCTGCATGTCTCTGGCACGGGCTGGGTGCCATCAAATCTGCGAGCCAGTCAGCGCAGCGGCTAGCCCCGAATCCATGGCATAAAGACCCCTGTCACATTTATCTTCCAGTTGCCACACCATTTCATCGTTCCATCTATTCAACTTCAACTGCTCACCCATTGCTATTCATCGACTGCCGTCAGCACACGAACTGGCATCGGGAAACCTACCGCGAGCACGAAGCTCCTCCTACCTTCACCGTCTGATCTTTGCCCACCGAGATCGGCTCCTTTAGCTGAAGAAATCCAATTTCGTATCCGAGGCAGCCATTGGCGCTCAATGTCTATCATGTGTCACGAGCACATGCAAGACGCTTGACGTGCCTGTATCTTGCGTCTCGTCTCGCCTCGCCTTGCCTCGCCGTTGTCGTTCACTGAGTGGTAGTGGCAACCTGCTCCGATCCCTTGAATCTTGGCCCCTGAAGGTCTGCGCGGGGTTTACTCGCGAAGCTCGAATATCGGCTGATTCCTTATCACATTGCAGCTCCACGACGCGGATCCGTGTCCGCTTCCGTGCCCGCCACCTCCGCAGCCTCGCTCATTGCTCGGTCCCTGCTTGAGCCCCGGAAAGTGGATATTCGCATACAGAATAATAGCAATAACGAAATGAGTATCAGATCTGGTGCGACGCTTTGCTGAAGAAACCTGACCTTGGCTTACCGTGCCGTAGGCGTGCCTACAAAGTAATCTCTCTAAATTTGGGACATTTGGGACATTGATTTTTTTGTGACACGATTTGGTCAAAGGACGCAACAATAGCAACCGTCCAGGCCATTGTCAAGCTTGGCTCCTGGATCAATTTCGAGGTACCAAAATTCCTAGAAATTTTGGTCTAGCGGCTGCGTGGGGTCCGATCGGTGCCGGATGCATCTTCCGAATCGCTCACCTAAGGTAGTGTCCTTGCCGAGACCCTAGCATCATCTTCGGATCTGGCTCGAGGTTGGCCTCCCTAGCGGTGTAGGTTTACGCTATTTGACTCAGCTGTTCAATGAGCAGCGTTCCTGTTGAGTCTAGGAAGTACACGGGGCGTATCGCCAGTGGCTATGGCAACTTTCCACTCCTACACAACACCATCGAATTCGCCAAGCTGCAGTTCTTGAAGAGCTCATGATCATCTCGCATATGTCAAAAGAGCGGTGGACAAAAGCGCAGCTATGTCTCTGCGCGAGATAGGAGGGTCGGATAGGGCTCACCGTCCTTGTGAAGAGCTCTGCCATGGACCAGGCCTCGAGCGTCTGTTGCCATGTGTACGATGGGGGATGGCAGCATTGTTTAGTCCGCATGTGCGTGCCTATTGCAGGGAAAGGAAAGTACGGCCTTGATCTGACCGCAGAAGAGTTGATGATGGAGGGGTGTGTGACGTGCTTGGGAACAGATGAAGCCTCAGGGTGCTACCAAGACGACAGACAATGCTAACCAAAGAAATGCCACTCAATCGAGCGGCATGCTTCTGTCGATCGTGGCCCATTGCCAGCCGCGAGCTTGTGTGTTTCGGAATCCCAATGCGGGTATTGGCCTGACGAGGTTGATGGTCAGGTTCCAAAAGGAAATAGGAGAAAAACAACTACGGGTAGCCACACGGCCGCAGGGCGAATAAGTTGACGTGGTATTATTGCCAACAAAACACGCACCGGTCTAGCAAAATCGCATGCAATGAACAGAAACGGGCAACCCAAGATATTTCGGCCGAACAGCTCCCACAGAGCCCCTCTTTGCTCCCAGGCTCATACAAGAGAGATCGCAAAGGGTTCGGCGGATACAACAGGTACAACGGGGATAGGGGCTAGCTAGTACGTACCTCGTGGCCTACGTTCCGTCTGCGAGGCTTCTTTGGCTCGCTTTCGGCAAGTGATTTGCATCCAGGCATTTCGCGTGGGGTGGTACGAATGCTGCCAAAAACCGGCAAGTATTCAAATTCAGAGCCATTCAAAAGGGGTAGCATCATACAAGGCCTCCAGCAATCATGAGCGGTACGTTGGGCGATTTGCGGCGCAGGGGAGGAGGCTGTGAGTTGAGCAAGCCAGCCCCAGTGCGACGGTTTGCAGAACCAAGTCTAATAAGTCAGAAACTGTGCCCGTGGTTCGAGGTGGTCCAACAAGATCGAAGCAATTACATGGGTTCGGCATGTATACCTGGGGCGCAAAGGGTCTTCTCATAAGTTGCGACGGCTCGCCTGGTTCGAGTCGCGAAGTCGTCAGAGCGTTTGAGCGGTAACAGGTACTGCGAAGAGAAAAAGAAAGACAGATGCATCGTGGCGAACCCTCCTGCATCTCACACTCGAGCAGGCATCGTCGCGTGGCTTCAACAAAGGGAGGAAGATCCCTGAATTTGACGGCGGGCTCGAATTGAGTCTAGTGAAGAGTCCAGACGAGACGAGACAGACAGAGTAAGGTACCTCTCTGGTGTATGGAATAAGAAATCTGGGGCTCGTTGGTTGGCCAGACGGCGACTCGGCCGGCAGCAGGTTCGCAGATGAGTGGGCAGGAGAGCTGCAAGTCAACACAAGAAGACCGTTACGGCATTATGCTTACCATAGACCGAGTCTTGCGGAGAGTCCGAGTGGCAGCGGGTTCTCCACCAAAAGACAAGTGTCTTCGCCAGCCTAGAGCCTAGCCGCCATCTGTGGTCATCGAAATCTGCGGCGGCCAGTGGTTTCTTATTCCTCCCGACTCGAATCATGGTGAAGATGCAGATTTGCTCATTATGGAACACAGCTGCGTACATGAGGGACACCACCGCACCCCTCCCCCCCTGGTCAGCGCCAAACTAAGCGTACGCAACCCTGCCAGCCTGCCAACCTTTCCCGCCTCTTCACCAGGCTTTGGCACCCTCGTCGGGCGGGCCCCCGCAAGAGAGTGAGCGGGTAGTCGAGACTGGCTTAAGCTGGACACGACGGCGGCCCCACAAACCGTCTTCCTAGACCCTGGGAGGCGGCGGTAAGGCGGCTGCAGTCGACGACTACCGCGTGGCCATCCATCGGTGGCCATGTATCGATCCCTCCATCTCATCAGCGGGTACCGATGTGTGTGTGTGTGTGTGTGTGTGTGTGTGTATGTGTCTCCCAAATCAGCAAGGTATCTCGAGCAGCAACCTGGAAAATTACAATGAGCATTTCCTGCGAGATTTGAGGCGGGTATGTGAGTGTGTGTGTGTGGGGGGGGGGAGGCGGGTGTGTGGCCAAAAGGATGCTCAATTCTGCATCCCAGAATCACACCGACTTTGACTTGATGCCGAGGACTTGCCGTCAAGTGAACAGGCCCATTCTGCAAACACATGGATGGCGGTGCGGACTGGCATGGCATGGCGATTCGGTGAGGTAGGTATGAATGGCATGGGCATGGGCATGGCCGTTGCATAACGACGACGACGACGACAATGAGCCATGGACAACAATCAAAGCAAACAGTGTTGGAAGCAGACAGTCTCCAAATGGAAGGGAGGAGGAGAAGGATTATCTATTATTGAAATCATGGGTTCCGAAGTCCCGGGACGACAATGGTCGTCCAACCGGTGCACGGCTGCTGCCAATCTTCGAGTCAGCTTGGGGGCACCGAGTCGATCCAATGGCGATGCATTGGCAGCCTCGTGTTGGTCCAACAGTAAATGAGGGTTGAAGTCACACGAAGCAATACAGACACGCAGACTGGCATATGTAAGCCTGGCGGTTCCTTGCTCTGTCTCTCACACGAAGAACAGAGTGAAAAAGAACGAGGGACTACGTGCGGATGTCTCCATCTCCACCTTATACCCACACCTCGAGTGTCCCGATCGAGTATCTAATCGTTCGTTATTCGTCTCTGCTACGTCCGCAAGACAGTGGAACTCGCGGCTTGGCCCCGAGCGACTACCACCTCACGCACCAGTTGTGACGCGCAGCTGGATCTCAGACTAGCGCCCCCGGAGGAGAATATCGACTGTGCAGCAGGTCCCGAATACCACCTGCACCCGCACCCACACGGGCTCGCCCTCGCTCGCTTGCCTCGCGCTGGGCTGGGCTGGGCTGGGCTGGGCTTGCACTGCACTGCACTGCACTGCACTCTCGGGCAGCGGCTGCACTACAGACGGCACTATTCCCTTTCATTACCCGGGCCTCTACCTTACCAAGTAGTAGTGGAGGTAGGCAAGTAGGTAGGTAGGTACCTTACTGTGTACGGAGTATGCACTCTCATCTCGACTATTGGGCTGCTCGACTGGAGCAACTCTCTCCCTTGCAAGCTGTGATCTCGCAAACCACCCCACCTGTTACCTGCGGGCGCTGCTGCTTGTTCATTCGATCCCTCACGCCTCCCCGTCTCACTCTCACCTCTTTTTTCTACAGCTGCTGCTGCGGCTGCTGCTGCCGCTGCCATCATTGCCCGCGCTCCATCTTCGTCATTCCCACACAGGCCACCGACCTTGTTTGCTACATGTCTCCATCAAGGCGGTGGCGTAAGGTAGGTGGTTCTCTCGCAACAGCATGCATTGCACAATTGAGGGGGAGAAGAGCCACACATTGACACACACCCGCAGTACTTCCAAGAGAGCGCCCATCTCCTCCGACGTTTCTCCCCCAGGTGACAAACCAGGATCATGACCCTGGATGAGGGGCGGTCGGCGCCAGCCAGGCTTGACAGATTGGGCGACCTGCATGGCTACATGCCATGGATCTACACATTTGGTTGCGTCTGCACATTGCCCTGCTGGAGCACCGAAGAAAAATAAGAAACGGCTTTTCGCTGTCAGAAGCCTCCGAGCGGAGCCCCGATCTCCCTGGCCCTTGCTTTGAGCTATACAGATAAACCTGGTCTTCAATTCAACCCCATCGAACCGGGGTCCTGGCTCTTTTCTTTCTCAACCGTGTGGAAGGGGACCAGAGAAAAAGAGATATAACAGAGACAGAGATCCATCGCGGCCGAAAACTAGATAGTCAGGGTTTGACCCGTTGTCGATGACTCGTCTTATTTCTTCCTCCCGATCTACACACACCTTTTACCCCCAAAGATCTCATACTCGACGTTGTTATTCCTTGACCAACATCTCCGCAGGTGTCAGGCATCATCTCTGCCTGGTGTCTTTCCTGGCTCATATTCTTGATCTGAATACTACTGCCTTCACTCCGGATCTTGACGTTTACAACCGACAACATCAAACAGCATGTTCGTCAGGTTACAAGATCACCAAGACGGCATGGACCGCCTGCCGCCACCACAACCGATGAGCTACCACCAGAGCCGGACCGACGACGTACCACGGGTGCTCCCTAGCCTCTCATCATTTAGCTTTGACGATAGGATGGATCTGGACGCTCGCAACAACACGAAGCCGGGCCAGCGTCATGAGGTGGAAGTGGCAACAACGTTGGCCTCTATGGCATCCTTCAACATCAAGTCGCCTACTCTCCCTTCTCCCACTCAGAGCTTCACCTCAATCAAGTCAGACGGTAGGACTAAACTATTCAGACCAGCATTCTTCGTCATGGGCTTTGAAGCTTATACCAATTTCTAGCGATGACGAGATCAACTAATTCTCAATCCTCATCCCCGGAGCCGCGGTCACCGGAGCTCCCTTCCGTCATCAGTCAACTTTCCTTCACCAAGGACACCACGGCACACATCACTCTTCCCCGCCTTCGTGAACTGGATCTACGACTCCCCGAGCCCGAATTTGTTCCCAGCCCGAGCTTCATGCCGTCTGCAATGGCCGGAGGGCTCCGCCGAAGTAGTATCGACTCCCTCGGCTCCTTTCAAGAACCCAGGATGGACCTCTCTTCGCCAACAGCCTATCGAATCCCGATGCCACCGATGGCCTACCCGGACGCTTTACCCTCGCCAACTTTCGGCAATTCCCACCGCAACCCCCTCTCGCCACCCAGCCGCCGCCTCCAGCACAGGTTACCAGTCACTCTAAGGACTGGCTGCAGTCCCAGCCGGAGGCCTCGCCGCTCACCCACGGGGTCCCGTTGCAACGTAAAGTACACGATTCAGCAGGTTGACTTTATTGACTACTTCCGCGTCGACCACCACCTATCCTGGAAGGAGGTCGAGGCCAAGTACGCCTCAGTCTTCCCCGAGGACGCCGCAAAGGGCCACAAGCGTGGGCCCCAGGGACTGCAGGGTGTCTACTACCGCAAGAACAAGCAGATTCCCGCCACGGACCCAAACAACCTCCTCGTCTTTGACGAGGACGACAACCCCAAGACATTCCAGTGCGATGTTCGGGAACAGGGCAAGAAGATGAACAACTCAATCGGCCTATTGGGCATGCACCCTGAGCGCGCCATTACCTACGCGTGGGTTTCGGAAGAGCACAAACGGCAGTACGACAAGCTTGGTGAGTTTCACGCGCTGTGAACATAGAGTTGAGCACTGGCTGATTATGTTTTCAAGGTCGCGCAAGACAAGCACAGCTCGACGCCGCAGAGGCACGGAAGAAGAGGAGGCGAGCCATCCAAAACAGCCGTCTTTGACTCACCTTCTTTTCCCATCCTCCTTTTCTCTCAAATTTGCACTTCACTTCTACTCATGATATCCAAATACTTTTATCCATTTTCCTTCAACTTTTGTTTACTCACATCCTTGCGCCAACCGGAAATTTACATCTTACAAACAATGGGATGCTGAAGGAGCGGCTCTACAACCTCGCAAAAAAAGAAAAATGGAAAATCCGAAACATCACGCATCAGCGTGTAATCATTTCTATCTAAAAGCGAACGAGACAAGAAAAAAAAAAGTTTTGAAAACGGGACATACCGTTTGTGTACGATGATGACGACAGCCGATTTCCCCGTTTCCGACGTGGAAACTACTTTCAACAGGCAGGGAAAGAAGGGGGCGCGGTAGTTGGGGGCGTTGAACAAAGCAACACGAGATTCAACTTGTTTTTTGGTTCCTTTACTTCTATTTCCCACTTCCCTGCATCATGGTCGCGGTACCAAGGGATGGTTGGGCTGGTTTTTTTTTTCCTCTAGGGGCGGCACAGCAGCAGCGCAGGATACGCCGAGGGGCAGGAGAGGGAGTAGGGGTTTTTTTTTTTTTTACATTGTTTTCTTTTGTTGGGGGGAGTCTTTACGAAATGGGATAAGGATGTGTGCGGTACGTGTGCATGGGTCAAGAAAGCATGGAACATGGTAAATGGAACATGGAAACGTTGATGACAAGGAGTTGAGAGAGTATTATTCAATTTTGCTCTTTTGTTTACCCGGGGAACTTGAAACTGCAGTTGGGGCGGGAAAAAAAAAGAGAGAGAGAGAGATACCAGTGGTGTGGCGCAAGTGTGTGGGAAGGGTGCGGATTGTAGTCGAGGCACTCGGCAAAGGTCGATCTGGAGCTACGATCTTCTTTTCTCTCATCGCATCTTGCTTCCCGCTTCACACATGGTGGACTTGCCAGGGGCGAGACCGGGGGGGGGGGACTATGATATACGAAGTCTTGTCCACAATGCATTTACAATGGGATTATGAAACGTCAAAGGGAGGGAAGGGGGGGGGTGAACGGATGGGTTGGGATGGGCTTAGGGAGATGAGGGTTCATGATTGCTTGTCTAGGCCACCACATAGAGAGTTGCTGGTTGGTTGGTTGGGTTTTCCTGGGATAACGGAAATAAGGGATGGGTAGATTTTTAGAACAACTACAATTGAAAACCAGGTTCCAAAGCATTGAGAATGTTCTTTTTTCCAGAGTTTGTGACGGTTTGTCTATTCTGTTCAATTTCCATCATCCCAATCCAGGTTTCTGGAACTCCAATGTTTGTACACGGACGGAAAACAGGGCCATCGGATCTTGTTCTCGAGGGAATCCGCCTTCTCGGGACTATTGCGGGAGAGGTAGGTGATCATGGTGAGACGAGACGGATGCAAAAGGTTGGTAGCCTTCGTAGGGTCTAGTCCCTTTGAAAGACGTTGAAGGTTGAGCCCACTGTTCTCTCCCGTCTGGAATTGGGTGATCTCTGCCCCTGGGCCATGGAGGATAAGGCGGCGGGGGGAGGGTCCGAGGTCACCATTGTCGGATCACACAAACATTTCCTGTTGACATTGTATTTTCTGGAATCCTCATCCGACATTGCTTGCAGCAATAGTTCTGTGCTACAGAACCGTAAAGAGATGCTGCGAGTATTATGCCGCAGGCTATTCTGGAAACGTTCTTTCGGAGTCCGTGGAGTGGCCAGTACGCAAGAGCATCCTTAGAATTGGGCGGGTACTTTGGGCGGCCCATCTCTACCTCTGCCTCTGCCTCTGCCTCTGCCTCTGCCTCTGCCTCTGCCTCTACCTAGCCTTATCTGTTGGGGAAAAGTACCTATGCGTGTTTGCGAACTCAGATGTGTCAACTTCGACCGGGATGGCGGCCATGGCGCATGTAATGCGCAACTGTCAACGGCTTATCACAGCGGACAGTGTGGCATGAGGTCGTGAGGCTGTGATCCACAGAGGCTGAGGAACGCTTGGGAAGTCATGTACTCCGTATGGGCCGGCCACTTGATGAATTTAGACCGGAGGAAGGGGGCGTAGCGAACAAAGCCAGGCGGCCCGGGGAGATTCTTTCTGCGGCAAGTTGTTTTGTCGATAAGGATGGCGAATCACCATGCTGGGTCATCATGAACCGGGGGGGGGGGGCTAGAGGGCTAGTAGCATCGGTACAAGATGGCGATGGTGATGAAGAATCTTGAGAGATGGTGGCGTAGATGGGATATTCGCTTCGTTTCTGCACCTATCACACATCCTGGAATGAAGGTGAACCAGACAGCCGGGACCGTCAAGTCATTGTTGACTCTTCTGTATAAAAGGTGACAGGGTTTTGAGGTACAGAGTACTGAATGTTAACTGTGAACAGTTAGCTTGGAGAATGGGACTTATTGGAAAGGGGAGGGGGTGTAGGGAAGCCTTTTGTCTGTTTGCTTCAGTGTTTGCATCCTGTGCCGTGCTCAGCCATGTAGAGGGAGAGTTGATTGCTGTTGATTGTTGGCCCCATGCGACGACTCTACATCCCGGATCACTGTATCTTGGAGAGGCGGCTGTTGTTACACAGAAAGGCACCGTTGGAAAGATGGCGGTTCTTCACAGTGTGGTGCATATTCTCCCAAGTTTGCCAGTCACACCTGAGGGGTGCAGTGGATGTTGTTTGTGAGACGCCCCAAAGCGGTGGACATTCGGACTCGGATCTGCCAAGTACTTGAAGGCTGCTTCCTTGTCCCCCTCTTCACCCCCCTCGTTGAAATCCTGGTTTTGCCTCGCTTCGCTGTATGCCTCGTGGACCTGCAGAGACGGGTGGAGTTTGGTTGGTGAAGATGGTGGTCCGCTGCATGTTTGCTCTCGACTACGGGGCTGCGTATCTCCAAATAACCTGCACCAACAGGCGGTTTTGAGACCGGAGGCTGGTCTAGGTGGGTGACGGTCTCCACTCCCAAAGCTTTCAATGCTCGAAGAGGAAGACAGCTTGCTTGCTTCGGTTGGCGTTCCCTCTTGGCCTGCCAGTCATCCTCATCCGGTGTGGAAGCTTTCTCGAAGCGATACGCTTGCCAACCAAGGTGCTGACAGTGCGTCTCTTCAACAAAAATGGGCGCTTGAAGTTGTAGTGTTTTCGACGTGGATCCGGCATGGCTTACACACACGCCCCCCTCCTCACCGTCGAGACCGGAAAGACGGGAATGGTGAACGTTGAGCATTGTTATAGGGTGTAGGTGGGCCGAGGAGATGATTGACTTCGCAACTTGTGGTGGACGTCCGTCCATGCAGTGTTTGTGAAAAAGTGGTCTTGGCTCGCCAGGATTCCGAGGGTGAACATGCCGCGAGGGGCGAAACGTCCGAAGGAAAAATAGAGTCTGTGTTGGAATTATGTGACAAAGTGGAGGCTGAAAATGACGGATTTACCTAGGCTCGCTCTGGCATCGGTCGTCGTTGGTTCTGCAAAGGCTTGAAGAATTTATCCACACTGGGTTAGTTCAAGGTGGAGCGGTTCATCCAACATCAACCAGGTAGGCATGACTGAACCAACAGACTCCTTCCTCGGCCATCACTCGATCCTTCATTTCCATTAAAACAGTGGTAGGAAGGACATCCTCGTCAGCGCCGTTGGCACCCACTATCACCGGCGCGGAAGCCAGGAAGGCAGGCGGACCCCCTTTGCTGGGGCAAGGATTTTGGAGACCCGGCGAGCACTCTTTTGACTGGATCGTGATGAGTTACGGCCTCTCCTTTTGTTAGGTACCGAGAGACGCCCCTGTCGCTGTTGGAAGAGTCATAGATGATTGCGGGCCTTCGCGATGGGAAAGTCAAGTTGGCTTCTTGAAGATTTCATCGATCGATCAGGCCTGTGGACCTTCCGGTGCTGGGTAGGTGCTCTGCCTTTCCGAAGTTTCCCTCTATAGGATCGATCACATTGCTTCCTAGATAGAAAAGTGACTATTCCAGTCAACGACGTGTCAAGACCATCGATAATTTACCGAGGAGGCACTGCGGATGACTCACTTTGCTTCGTGAGTGGTTCTGCGTTAGTGTAATTCTAGGCCAATTGAGAGAAATTCTAAATGTCATATTGAGATCAATATACATCCACTATATCCATCAACTTAGACAGTCTAGGTAGCCGTTCCTCATTGTCGCAGAAACAATCTAAGATAGTTGACAAATTTGAGTCTCGCATTTCAAACAGATTTTGTATCTTGGATAGCGTCTTACGGCAATCAAGTTATTTCACATTTGTTGTTCATCTCGATCTACTTAAAATACCGCATTTCTGCGTCAGCAAACCTCATTGTTATCGTATGGATGGCTTTTCTCGCTCTGCTTCATCATCATTAATCCTTTCGTCTAAACCTCTATTGGTGATCATCACGCAAAGGGAGACTTGGGCTTGTCCATGGGCTGTAGTCCAAATATGTCGTCAGATTTGATCGGCTTAGTCTGGTCGTCGGAGTCAGCGACGACCTCGCCAAATAGGAAAGCATTACGCTCCCTGCTGATATTTCCAGATGGCTTCTTGCGGTGCGCCCCTCCAGAGCTCGACTTCGGCAACTTGGGTGGTGATGCCGTCTGGGCGGATTGGTCCGGCTCGAGCATCCAGGAGAAGGAAGACTGGGCGAGGGTTGATCGTGTTGGGATTGGCGGCTGAGGTCGTTCCAATGGCCTCACCTTCACCTGAGGCGCGCCTGTTTTCGAGCTTGATACCACAGCTGATGGATGCTCGGCTGGTTTGTCTGCTGGGGCCTCTTGTGTAATGTCCGTTGCGTCAGGAATGGCTGTTCCCGAGGTCGGGGATTTTGGCTTCTCTTGATCTGCCAGAGACAACGTTGATATCACGCCTGCCACACTCTCTGCAGCAACGGCGGCCCCTAGCACAGCACTGTCATTTGGTTCTATCTCCATCAGGGTATTGTTGTTCGCCTCCTCCGGTGGTGGACTGGTAAAGCCTTCGAGATTTGGTACTTCGATGGTCGGGTCTTCCAAGTAAACCTTTACGAATTGCACCTTGGCGGCCGCTACCTCAACAATCTCCAGTGTCTTGACCTTGTCTTCTAGAATAGTAGTAGCCAAAGATCTGAGACTTGTCACTGTCTCGTCTAGCATGTTTGCCAGTAGTTTATTCCGTTGCTCTATGGCAGCAATGGCTTGTGCCGCCGAGTCGTCGCCTAGGAGTTGCCTCGCCATTCGGGGGGGATAGCGTACTTCATTCAGCCCCTGCATGTTTCTTTTGATATCGCCCATGGCGTCTCGTACAGCTTGGTTAATGCCGAGCTTTTCGCCTCGCTCCAATACACTTTTGGCGGCACCTTGGAAAAGTGCCTCCACGCCACCCTGCTGCTGGATAAACCTACTCGCAGATGGCATTGGCGAATGACCACCCTTGGTCCGGTTTCTAAAAGACGAGAAAGCTTGGCCCATTGGTGTCGTGGGCCGCGAACTACTGGCAGATTGTGTCGCGCTGGGCATTTTCCCGGTGTACTTCAAGAGGAGTGAAACACCACCGGAGACATTGAGGTGTGTCCTCAGATATACTGCATCATCTACGAATGTATGCGGTCCGTGTGGGGCTTCTGGTGCGGGATATTTGAGAAGCAGCTGCAAACAGACAGAGTAGTCCGCCTCGAGCACTGCCGTTGATTAGTCCCACTGACATTGATGCACATTGGAAAGCACTCACAACTCCATCGGATGCGAAGAAGCATAGCGACACAGATTAGGTCTATCAGGCTGAGAGACGGATCGACCGCAAAGAGAGTATCCCACAACACGAGCATTTCATCAAACGGAAACTCGCGACCAAAGAGCAGACGAATCCAACGGCTGTCATGTGTCAGTCGAAAGTCAACGTCAATGGATATTATAAAGCTCACATCAAGAAGATCTGTGGCAGAATCTCAATGTCTTTAAGGTGGTTGGCCAGCTCGGGATCGACCTTGGCCAAGCAAACCTCATGGATATACTTGCTCTTCTCAACGATGGCTGAAGTTTCCACGCGGTCCTTTGAAGCGGACGCCATTGCTGCCTTTGAGATTGAGTCTTGGACTTCATAAAACGCCCTTGCCTTCTCCATAATCTTGGAGAACAAGGCAAATGCATCATGCTCAACGAAGGACGAGTCGAGCATGCCGAGCATCGTCTCGTCGACGATAGTGCCGTTGGATGAGATAACCGCGCGATCAAGCGCGTCTTTGTTGACAACAAAGGCGATGGGCGCCAGAAGTTCATGCATGCCCTGACGATAGCCGCCGCTATTGGGGTGAAGCTTACAGTACATGAACAAGGCATCGATAATCATGGTCTGTGTTTGTTCTTCATGATAGAATGGTTCATCAGGCAACCGGCGAACATCTTGCGCGATCTCAGCCCTGATTATTTCGTCCTGTCGAACAGTATTCCACGGTGACTGAGTGATGCGTAAGCCCAAAATTTCCACCTGAGACACTGGCTTCCTGTTACTCACCTTTGGATCGTCCGTCAACGGATCAATAGCAACCTTGGCCAGCTCCCCAGGATGCTTGATGAACTTCAAGAAGTGATCCCGTCTTTCAGAATAGTAGCTTCGAGATTCGGAGATTCGATACAGCCAGCCTGATGTTGGGTCATCTTGCATCAGCAGGAATGCCTTGGAGGCTGTCAGCTCCGAGTTGAGATGAGATCAACCTCGCAATGTCCACACCAACCTTCCAACAAACTGACCGGAGTCCCGAAACGCACGGGCTCGAAGGCCCGTTATACTTGACTGCATGTTGCAAGTCTGACAGATTCCCTGCATACTTCACTGTCTCGGCCCATCGTGTCCTACGAATTGGATCAGTCGGTGAATATGATGTCACAGTTGCGGTGATGCGACTCGCACTCACTGAGCGTCATCGAGCGTCCTCATCTTGCAGAGAAGAGGCAACGTCCGCTGAGACCTGCGGGATACAATCAACCAGAAGCAGGGGGACTGGCATCCCAAGGCTTCAAGAGTTTGAAAGTTACACGCGATAAGGCGAGATTAGGTTGGCGATCGCTTGGGATGTAGTTAACGTGGTTGAAGGTGGCTGGAGAGGAACAAGGCGATGGCGGAAGCTTGGGCCAAGCCAAAGTACCATGGTTCGTACCTGATGAGGTAAGAGAGCCCACGACTTGTGATGGAGGGGCAGCGACAGAATGCAGGGGTTGATGGCCTGGTGTGGGGCAGCGGGGCACTGCGAAATCTGCGACCGCCTGCCCAATTAAAAAGTACCCCGCGATCGGTCCAAGTCATGTCAGTGCCTGTCGCCGGGCAATTTTCGTGCATTTACTTTCTCAGGGTGACTGACTATACCTACTTTATCGCAAAGTTTTTTTACTTCTTTGTGTAAGGCGTCAAGATCCTCAAAACTACCACACGCAAAATTCACAATGTCTGGGCTTGACACATACAAGACTCCCCTCGATGGCAGATATGCCAGTGAGGAGGCCAAGAAGCTGTTCTCCCAACGCAACCGTCATTCCACTTGGAGACAGCTCTGGCTTTGGCTGGCTGAGAGTGAGTGAACGTTTTTCTCCCATAATATTCTGATCAAACCTGTTACTGACGATTTTGGCATAGGCGAGAAGGAGCTTGGCATTAATGGAATCTCTGAGGAGGCCTTGGAGCAAATGAGAGCTCACTTGACATTAACCGATGAGGATTTCAAGGTGGCTGCCGTTGAGGAGAAGAGACGTCGTCATGACGTGGTGAGTATACGCATTTGTTCTTGAAAACCAAAAGTCAATAGAGTAACACGTTGTTCACAGATGGCTCGTAAGTGGCTTGGGCGTGGGCTCTAACACGGGCAACCTTGGAATGTTGATACATTTGCTTCATAGACGTCCACGCTTTCGGCCAAGTTGCGCCTGCTGCAGCCGGCATCATTCATCTCGGTAAGAAGCCATTCATATTCTCAATATGTGTTCTGCATACTAATTGAGGATGAAGGGGCAACGAGCTGTTTCGTCACTGTATGTTGCCTCACGTTTGCTAGGGTCGATTGAGTCGCCTTTCACTATTAGGCTCTTTGATAGAACTTGAACATTCTGCAAGGCGGAATTTTTGGGATGAGGACTGACATGGCGATCTACAGGATAATGCAGAGCTGATTCTGATGAGGTGAGCCAAGAAGATGACATTGAGATGTTGAAAACTAACACTGAGCAGAGATGCGATGGATCTTCTCTTGCCCAAGCTTGCCAAGGTTATTCACAACCTCTCGCAGTTCGCACTTCAGCACAAGGAGTAAGTCAGGGCCCGATCGAGCGGTTGGATCGACGCAATCCCAGGGATGATCCACCTCGAGAGACCTTTCCATCGAGACAGCAGCTAACATAATCTACCGGCTCGCAACTCTGGGATTCACTCACTACCAGGCAGCACAGTGAGTCATAAACCCATTATTGTGAAAAGAACACACATTGACATTTGTCAAGGCTCATTACCGTTGGCCGCCGCGCCGCACAATGGATCCAGGACTTATGCATGGACTTGAAGAACATCGAGACTGCACGCCAGCGTTTGGCGTTCCGCGGTGCGATGGGAACCACTGGAACGCAGGCTTCCTTCATGGAAATCTTCCAGGGCGACGGCGCCAAGATCGACAAGCTCAACGACCTCCTCTGCGAGAAGGCCGGCTTCCCCAAGACCTACGATATCTCAACCCAGACATACACGCGCAAGACCGATCTCGACGTCAGCAACGCTATTTGTGGCTTGGGCGCAACCGCCATGCACATTACCAATGATATCCGTCACCTCGCGCATTCCAAGGAGATGGAAGAGCCCTTTGGTGAGTGACGAAATAGGTCACATGTCCCCGAATTTCTGCCTACTGAAGGAGAAACAGTTGGGGGGAGGGGCTGGCCATCATCTGGATATCAAGCTAACCATTTCTCTAGAGAAGGATCAAATCGGTTCTTCGGCGATGTATGTGTAATCCCTGACTTATATGAAAAGTGTAGTGCTGACTTGATCACAGGGCGTACAAGAGGTAGAAACATCCCGCGTTTTCTCTTTTTGCAACCACGGGTCTTTAGCGACGGATACAAGGACTTCGACGAGCTAACACCATAACAGAAACCCTATGCGCAGCGAGCGTATCTGCTCTCTCGGACGCAAGGTTCGTCGATCTATTGCGTGAAATGGTGTTAATGCTAAAACAACCTAGCTGCGCTCTTTGCCAGCCAACTTTGCGGATACGTACGCGGACCAGTGGTGTAAGTCCATCACCCCTCGGCCTCCAACATGAATCTTCCCATATGCTAATACCAACGGTCTAGTTGAGAGAACGCTCGACGATTCTGCTATTCGCAGAATAGATATCCCCGAGGTAAGTTCACCCCGCCTAATAGTTCAGGGTAGCAAGGCTAACAGCATTAGATGTTCCTCTTGGCAGGTGAGTCATGAGCGGCTCTGGATGTCCACAGCCACCGCTCTGCTGTCAAAGCCGTGCTAATGTGTTCAGATGCGATTCTTCTTGGACTTGACAACGTCACGTCCGGCCTGGTAAGTCCTCCTGCTCTCCCCTCTCAGGCTAGGGAACAACATGCTTTCCTAACCCCAATGGCCTCGAATCAAGCCCGCTGACGCCTACGCAGGTCATTTACCCCGAGGTCATCCGCGCCCACGTGATGGAAGAGCTCCCCTTCATGGTAAGCCGTACACCCTGGAAGAGAATGAGGTTTGCGCACAATGACTAACAATCGCGTCAGGCAACGGAGAACATCATCATGAAGATCGTCGCCAAGGGCGGTTCGCGCCAGGAAGCCCACGAGGAGATCCGCGTCCTGTCCCACCAGGCGGCCGACGTCGTCAAGAAGCAGGGTGGCAAGAACGACCTCATCGAGCGCATCAAGGCCACGGAGTACTTCAAACCCGTCTGGGACTCCATCGACCAGCTGCTGGACCCGAACCTGTTCACGGGCCGCTCCGCGACAATGGTTGAGCGCTACTGCGGCGAGGGCGGTCCCGTCCAGGAGCAGATCAAGCCCTACGCCGAGTACATCAAGAACACTGGTGCCGCTGAGCTGAACGTCTAAGCTGAGCTCAATTGTACAGACCTTGGTTTCATGGATGGTGATACGTCTGGCATTTTTAAATTGGTTGTGATGTAAGGGGCCACCTACTTTAGATTGACTTCAGGGGGAGGGAAAAAGCACTTCAGAGGGTGGCCGTTGACGCGGCTACCGTACTTGCTTCCAAAAAATTGTTTCATGATTGCGTTTTGCAGGTTTATAAAGGAAAAAAATATAAATTGGGATTTACGGAGAATTGTCGAATAACCTTCACCGCCATGCTTTCTGAATCGTGGTTCTTCAAGGTGGTTCCTCATGGTCCCTATGCGACGCGAGCATGGCCTGGTTTTCAGAACCTCGGCACCCGACTCTTAACTTATCCTACCCACCATCAAAGGAATCACCTCCTAGTCTCCTAAGATGAAGTGAAGAATGAAGATCAAAAAGCACAGCAGTAACACCAAACGTCTCTCCTGTTCCTACAGGACTTGCTCTTGCGTTGGAATGATCTCATTCTATCTATATGTATGCCGATCTCAGAAGACCAGGACCGACCGAACCCGTCACTAAACAAAACCAAACCCCAAGAGTCCTCAAACCAGATATTTTCGATTCGTCTGTATAATCTCATCAGAATTGTGCTTCGTGCCTAGGTAGCCTAGATATCCCGCAGCGTTTCCCGCATCAACCACGGAACCTCCTCACGTGTTGATAACTGCAACAATAATCAGAATCTACCCACCATCCCGGAGAAAGATCATTATTGAAACTAGAAGCTAAGGCTTATGCAAAAGTCCTCCAACAAATAAGTGCGGATGGCTTCCTTCTGGAGTTCTTTCAAAATCTGAATTAGTCTCTCAACGATCCTCTGCGCCTCGGCAAGAACTTCATCCACAGAAAAACCAAGCCCCTATCCATTTCAACTTCCTATCCTCCCATCCTTCCTCGTCTCTCACCCAAACGGTATTCGAACAAGAGTATACCACAGGTAGGTCTTGGTATTAGAGATAAAAAGTATTTTACGCCCGTGGCTTAAGATGTATCACTAACTCCAAGGTGATGGACATCGTGGCGGGTGACCGAGAAACAGCCAGAACCAGCAAATTTTACTTTTCCGGGTAGAACCAGTCGTTACCAACAGAATGTTGGTCCAGGGTGTGAGATCACATCCTAGGCATCACAAATGGCAGTTTATATGTAGTATGCGACCGCGCTTTAAAAGATGAAAGGCATACACTGAGTAAACCTGCCCGGCCCAGATACAATAGCAGATAGGCTGGCATCACAGCCACCATGTCGCCTCTGCCATAGTCCATGTGGCACATACACAAGCGATCTAGAGAGAGGGGGAATAATCGCAAGTTTCAAAATAGCACTGCATCAACCCAGCAACATCTTCGCCTTATCATGGCAAGAAAAACATACTTTGTATTCCCCATTCACAACGCCGTTCTCTCTGTCCCCGTCCGAATCCCAGCCCCGAACCGCAATTGTCTCTCTATGAGCTCTGTTCTTTGCGCTAAGATTGCCCAGACCACCCACCTCCGGAGCTCCATGCAAATAGACCGAAGCCCAAGGGGAGTTTGGGTTGTTGTTGACTTCCCCCTTGAGTCATCACATAGATCCGGATAAAACAACCAAAAAGCAAAAAAAAAGCAAAATGAAGATTCGTCTTGTTGCGTCAATTGGCTCTCTCTAAGCACATCCGGCTCCGCTTCGAGACGAGAGTCGTGCTGTTCAAGATTGCTCTTTAGGGTATCTTGACCAAAATTTTGCTCCATGGCCTCCGTACGGCCCGCCCCTATCCACCCCTCCCTCATATCTCTTCTACCTCGTCATCAAATCATTTGCATCCTTCACTCCTCGTCAACCTCCTGGCACCAAGGATGCGCGAGGACCTGATTAATGTCATATCTCGCAGCCACGTCCCTGTTGAGCATACACCGTACCAAGTCAATGCTCTCATCGCTCATCGTCCACGGGACTCGAAGGTCTCGGTCCATGATCTCGTCAATGCTGTAGAACGGGTTCTCCTTGTAGATGATCGTGTAGAGCAGAATTCCAAGCGCCCAAACATCTTGCTCCTTGCCACCGTATGGCTTGCCAGCGAGCACCTCGGGAGCAGCGTAATCTGTCCAGTCAGTTTCAGCAACGATAGAGGAGAAGCAAGATTTGACCTACCAATAGTGCCCACAAAGACGTCAAAGGGGCCGTTCTTGATGTACGCTGCACTCCCAAAGTCGATCAACTTAATGTTGCCCTCGCCGTCCAAGACTATATTCTCGTCCTTGATATCTCTGTGGACCACTAATGCCTTGGTGTGTAGATGACCAATGGCCTCGGCAACTTGGACGAAAATGCTGCGGCATTCGGCCTCCTCCATGTTGCTCCGGAGCTCGATATAGTCGAATAGGTCCATTCCCGGCAGTCCGTGAGGCACCATCTCGATGTAGTAGTTGACCTCGTCCTCGAAGAAGGATTCCATTTCGACAATGTTTGGATGTTGTAGATCGGGCCGACGCAGATAGTCGAGAACGTGTATCTCCAGAGGCACTGTGCCGAGCTTGCGGTCTCTCGTCCATGTGTCTACCAGGATACGTCGCTTGGTCACGTACTTGAGAACCGCCTTCTTCTGCGTCTTCTTGTCCTTGGCCAGTTTGACCTGACCATAGGCACCCTGACCCATGTCCTCGAGGATCTGGAAATCGTTGATAGACTTTTTCTGCTGCGCTGGCTCGATGAGCTTTGGCACGGATGGCTTTTCCTGCTTCTTTTCTGTGGGTCGCTGTGAGCCAGTCAACTTTGCGGCGGCCGTCATCGCGACCTCTTTGAGTTGTTTGGTGATTGCAGATGCTGTCGACGACGAAGACTCTCGGGTTTGGGGCTCGTCGGAATCCGAACTAATCTCCAGTGGCGTGTGTGCCGGCGTCTGTCCAGGCGACGGCTGATGCAAGGGAGTTGTCGTTCCAGAGGCAGAGGCCGACGTCACACCGAGCGTCGCCCTGGCGGCGTGCATGTGCCTGGAGTAAGTAATCCAGAGGGCGAAGACCATTTCCGAGTGAGTAACGGAAAAAGAGTCTTCCTGATTGTCCCCGTCCTTATCTTGGTCTTCGTCCTCGTCCTCAATGACAGTCTCCTGGATTACTGTGGATTGCTTTGCGCTTCTTACCACCCGCATCTGCACGTCAACCTTGAGCTCGGATCCGTCCCTGTGCTTTCCGGGTACTCCTTCCGGCCGCAAAAAGCTCGCAGCCGCATCTGGGCGATTTTCTCGAAGGCCAAGAATCGCCGACGCCCGGCGGAAGCTGTGCTCCGGCACCACAATCCCATCCTGCAATTGAACTCCATCCTCTTCCGTCAATATGTGGAGAATCTTTTCGAAATCGGGAACCAAAGAGTCGATGGCCATGCCGTCGGGCTTTTCGTAGCCAAACAGAGCGCCGCAGAAGACGGAGTTTGAGCTTTGGATCTTCAGAGTCTCGGGATCCACGACGATGATCCCTGCAATGTGCGGGAAGCTCGAGACGCGTAGCTCTGTCTTGCCCCGTACTTGCTCAACACTGCAGGGAATGTTGACTTTGCTTGGGTTTGGGCATGTGAAAAACTTGCGCCTCGCAATCTGCGCAAAGTCTACTTCGCCAGTGCGAGGGTCGATGCCTTGCCGAGGAATGCGTGGGATCAGCTTGCCGATATCCACGCCAGGTCTCAGTGACTCGAAGCCCCAAATCGGTTCGGTGGATCCCGAGATTTTCTGGATTATGCCCTCGTCGTCGAGCTCAATCTGGGCCACATCTTCGTGAATTTCCTCAAGGACCCAGATGAGACCAACCCGCTTCTCCTTTACCCACAAACTTGCGGAGCCTGTCGCGCCGTTTCGCTTCTGGATTGGAACCACGTCACCGCACAAAAGAACGCCTCTCGATCGACTGCTTTGATGCCGCGAGCTCCCCCTTAGTCTGGGCGGGTTGGGATCTCCGCTGTGAACGGTTTGAGCCTTGCGAGTGACAACTTTCGGGGGTTGTGACCTCGAGTTTGGTTTGCTCAAGAGCTGTGCAGTGATTCCACCTCGCCCGCCCAGAAGTGATGGCGTCGAGGCAGTAGACGCAGTCGGTACGGGCGAAGTTGTTTGCGGAACGTCTTCTGCCTCCTTGATTGTGTCTTCGGGATCCATTTGCAGCAATTTCTTCTCCAACCAATCCCTCCGCTCCTCTTGAACGACCTCCAAGATTCCCATTCGTCGAACTTCTGCTTTTGTGACCCCAAAAACCAAGCAAGCGAGGTCGTTGGCCGCGATAATCGTCCATGGCGGTTTTGACTCTGTTGTAAAAATGGCCTGCGCTGCTGGAACCCACCGTGTCGAATGCCCATGCACGGCCGGGCCCAGTGCACTTGGCATATTCCCTGCGGACAGTGGGTGTGCGGTTGTTGGTGAAGCCAGCATCTCTTGAGCTGCCAGGTACGGCTGTGCCATGGTATCGATGAGCTGTTGATGAACCGAGACCGGGAGCGTATCTGTGAGTGTCCGCTTCAAACTAAGTCTTCGAGATGGCGGCGGGGATGTCTTTGCAGTCGTTCCACTCTCATTCGTCGGCGTCCTGCTCGAGTTTTCCGATTCATTGTCGCCCAGGGTAGCTTTTGGGGGTTCATCTTGCTGCTTTATTGACGGTCTGTTGTTGTTGGGAAATATCGCAAACTGAGTCGCTGTAGGCGACGCATTGGGGGACTGAAAGGGCTCGGGGCTTGCTGTTCGAGGAATGAAGTTCGCTTCAAACAGATTGTCCCCCGAGACTTGCGGGGGTCCCGTCAAAGGCCCGAGAATAGACTGATCCATCGATGGGAGGTTACCCGCTCCGACAAGCTGTGCCCTGGCCAATAAGTCTAGCATGTTCTGAGTCTCGACGTCTCCAGATGCTCTTGCCTGTGCGCTCGCGAGAGCGACGTTGGATTGCGAGACGGACCATCCCATCCTGTCTTTCATAAATTCTATCGATCGCTTGAGGACATTTTGCCGGTTGTGTATGTAC